CTCACATGAGGACAGCCCCACCTCATTCTGCTTCTTGCTACGCGAGCTCACTGCACCACCTCCAAAGAGGCACACATAGCCTCCAATGCTGGTGCCATCCGCCTTCACTGAGTTGAACCTAGCAATGGTGTAGCAAGTTAAGAGCATGTCCCCCTTACCCAAATCAGCCGCACCTCTATGCAGCCTCTGTCTCACATAACTGTACTCCAAACTCACATATGCTGTAGCACTCATATAGCGGACCGACCTCTTGGCCGCTTCCAGCTTGCTCATGACTGGGGCGTGACACCACACTCGCAAGCCTGGATGTTGCAAAGGCAATGTATGGTCGCGTGTGGTTTGCCGCATAGTTGAGTGCCCCAACCATGGAGTAAAATAACTTCCTATCGCTCTCACCCACCACCTCCTCATCAGCACAGGGCTCCACGGTGAACCCTGAAGGCAGTGGGGTTGCTGGCTTTCCTCCATCTTGCAGCCCATACTTCTCCGCCAACCCCTCACAGTATTGCCTATGGTTCAACCTCAACACTCCCTTGTCAAGGTCCCTCTCCACATGCATCCCAAGGTAGTACTTCACATCTCCCAGCTTAGAACACTTGAACTGCATCTCCAGCATCTCCTCCACACGGTCGATCATCGCAGATGACTCGGAAAGGAGAAGAATATCGTCCATGTACACCAACAGCATGAGGAACTCGTCATTCTCTTGCAGCAGGAACAGGCTGTGGTCACACTCTCTCGTCTTGAATCCCACGGCCAGCAGTGTCTCCTCTAGTTTGTGGTACCAAGCACGAGGAGCCTGCTTCAAGCCATAGATGGCCTTCTTCAGCCTGCACACCCTGCCGCTCCCATCATCCAACCCCTCAGGCTGCAGCATGTACAGCTCCTCCAGAATGATCCCATTGAGGAAGGCAGTGGTAATGTCCATCTGTTTGATCCGCCATCCACGGTTTGCAGCCATTTTCAACGACACCCTCAGTGTTGTCCCTTTCCCCATAGGTGCAAACACCTCATCAAAGTCCTTCCACTTTGTCTGCTGAAGCCCCTTTGCCACAAGTCTTGATTTGTAGCGGGCCAGCTCCCTTTCAGGTCCATACGTATGCCTTTAAATCAGCTTTGAAGAAATGACCTTCTTCTCAGGAGGCATCTCACACAGCTCCCACGTCTCGTTCTCCAGCAGAGAGTCATACTCCTCCTTCACACTCTGCTTCCACTTTTCAGCATCGGGCCCACTCATTGCCTCAGCTAGCGTCTTGGGCTCAGGGACGGCTGCCCAGTGGCAGTGTGCTATCTCATCCTCATCACACTGCTCAGCCACACTCCCACCCCGTATCACCTTTAGCTTGCCAAAGCTAGGATAGGTCAGCCTGTTGGGAGGGCGCACATCCCTCCTAGGACGGTCAGCCGGACGTTGGGCACGTGGTGGAACATCTTGCTGCTGCTGCTACCGCTGCTGATGCTGCTGCTGCTGCTGCTGGTGCTCCGGCTCAGGTTCTCCCCCATCCTCAGTCACCCCAGAGATCTCCTCCTCTGACACAGAGACTTCCACCCGCCTCAAGGGCCGCTCCACCTCATCGGCCTCAACAATCAGCAGTATAGAAGGAAGCTTCTGCTGCTGCTGCTTCCACTCCTTGTAGTACAGGGACTCGAGAAGCTTAACATCCCTTGACACAGTCAGCTGCTGGCTGGTCAAGTCCCAAATCAACCAGCCCTTGTGATCCTTTGCAAGCCCCAAGTGCACACCCCATCTCCCAGAAGCTTCCAACTTTCCTCTCGTCTCCATAGGCACGTGAAACACCACCATGCAGCCATAGGCTCTCAGCATGTTGACTGCAGGTGCACTCCCATACCACTTGGTGTAGGGGACCCACTGCTTGTCCCCCATAGTTACTAGCACCCTGTTCTTCACAAGGGCGACCTGCCGCAGTGCAGTCACCCAAAACGGATCCGGCAGCCCTGCGCGCCCAAGGAGAGTGCGAGCACCTTCCTGCAGGGTCCGGTTGAACCGCTCAGCCACGCCATTCTGCTGAGGGTTGTAGGGCACTGTGAGCTGATGCTGGATCCCCTTCCGCTTCAGCACTGCCTTGAAATCAGCACCAATGAACTCTCCTCCATTGTCAGTGCGGATCACTTTCACCTTTTGTTTGCTCTCCCTTTGAGCTCTTGGCATCCACTCCTTCAAAACAGCCGCTGCCACCTCCCCCTTAGTCTTGAGAGGGTACACCCACACCGCACGCGTGTGGTCGTCCACAATGGTCAAGAAGTAGCGGCTGCCCGAGAGAGAAGGGGCCCTCGTAGGCCCCACCACATCCATGTGCACAAGCGCGAGTGGTGCCTTGGCTAGTCCCGCGCTGCTGTTGAAGGGAAACTTCGTGAACTTGGTCTCAAGGCATGTTGGGCAGCTCCCAATCTCCTTTGCTGCCCCCTTCACCTCCAGCCCCTTCAAGCTCCCATCCTTCACTAACTTCTGCAGCATAGGGATGTTGATGTGACACAGCCTCTCGTGCCACGTCTCCCAATCGGCCTCATCACTTCGAGATGAAGCCTTTGCCCATGCAGCTGTCGCATCCACACCAGCAAGCACCTCACCATATGGCTGCTGTGGCTGCTTCAGCTTCTTGACTGCATCCAGGACCCTATCGGTTGGTGAAGTCTCCTCTCCTCCCGCAGTTGCTTTAGCCGTTGCTGCTGCCGCTGCCGTTGCTGGAGGTTTCCCGTTCCAAGGGATGATGGGCAGCCGCTACAGGTCCTTGATGCAGCTGCTCTTCTCCTCCAGATCCCACAACAACAGCTTCCCAAGCTTCGCACGGTAGCCTAGACATACCCGCCACCCCCACACCCCATCCCCCACCACCCTCAACGCGGTATGTACAGCAGTTGCAGGTGCAGTGATGAGGAGAAGAATTGAGGGACGAGGGGTTCAAGGAGGCTTCAGCACCCCCATAGCCGTGGCTGCCAATCCCGACACCCCCGTCCCTCCCATCCTCCCAAGCGTCCACCGTAACAATTGTCAAACTATACTTGTTATAGTTCGTAAGTCTAGTCTAGGCGTTACAGTGAGCTATACAGTAGGGGGTACAACCCCCCTCCCCCCCCCCCCCCCCCCCCCCTCTTTTAGGGTTTGCTATATGTCCCCTTTTACTGGTTCGTTCTAGTGATTCATCATTCCGTTCACTGATTGACATGGTATAGAGCTAGATTTATTCCTATGGGCCCACCACCACCCGTCGCTCGTAGCTCGTAAGCACCTCGTAGCTCTATGCCCCGATGCGCCCCGTAGGCCGACGCACCCAGTTCTTCCCCCCCCCCCCCCCCCCCCCCCCCCCCCCCCCCCCCCCCCCCACAGGCCCCTCGTTCGTCCCATAGCGCAGCCCCTCACGGCCCTTCGTTCGTCCCATAGCACGGCCCCCGCGGGCCCTTCGTTCGTCCCTTAGCGCGGCCCCCGCGGGCGCTCTCGTTCATCCCGTAGCGCGGCCCCGCGGGCCCTTTGTTCGTCCCGTAGCCCCCCCCCCCCCCCTCTTCGTACGGTCCGTAACGCGCCCCCCCTCCGTGGGCCTCCCGTTTGTCCCTTAGCGCGCCCCCCCCGCGGGCGCTATCGTTTGTCCCGTAGCGCGGCCCCGCCGTCTGTCGCCCTTCGCCCTAGGCCGCACGTCGCCCGTCGCCCTAGGTCGCCCGTCCCCCGTCGCCTTAGTGTCCGCGCCCGTAACCCTAGCCCGTCGCGCCCGTCGTGCCCAACGTCCGTCCCTCGCCCTAGCCCGACGCACCCGTAACCCTAGCCCTAGCCCGACGCGCCCCTAGCCCTAGCCCGTCGCGCCCCTTGCCCTAGCCCGTCGCGCCCTAACCTGTCGCTAGCACGATCAGCAGCGGCTGCAGTGCGCCGCCCCATGCCAGCGCGAGCAGCAGCTAGCGCCAGCGGTAGCAGCCAGACGCCACAGAGTCTACTTGGCGAGTTAATTGAGAGAGCAATAGTTGTTTATATTTGGCCGGGTACAAGCTACGAATTGAAGAAAACTCCCTGTTTTGCTCTCTGGAATTTATAGCTAAAACATGCAAGCAAAGTTGTAACACCGAACCGCGCGCGACTCGGCAGAATTTCGGACTCAAAATTGCGTCCAATTTCCGCGACGTCCGCGTTCATAATTCCAGACTTTGTTGGGTTCATTTCAACACGGCAATAAGTGTGTGCTACAGGAAACAATAAGGAGTGTAGCGAAATGTTCAAAACATTCGCTTGCACTCTCGCTACTTTCGTGCGTGCTTGTGGGGATGCCAAGTGTTACCCTCACAAATGTTCGGACCCAACCGGGAAGAAGTTTGATTGAGTGGCGACGCGGACAAGCCGCCATCACTCCAACTTCCAAGAACAAACCCTCCCTTGGTCCGAGTCAAGGGAGGTCTTTCGCGTGGGAGGCAATCCCTCCCCCACACTTCCAACACTCCCCCTTGCACCCTACGCACTCCTAAGCATGCAAGCCTACCCTAGCACAACATGCATGAAGAGCATCTCTAGGCAATGGCGTGGTGAGGAAGTCCGTGGGTTGCGAGTTGGTCTTGATGTAACGAAGCTCGACTTCGTTGTCTTCAACGAGCTTGCGAATGAAGCGGTGGCAGATTTGAATGTGCTTGGTTATTCCGTGGAGGACCGAGTTCTTGGCTAGGCCTATGGCGGCTTGGTTGTCCACGTAGATGGGAGTGGGGCCTTCTTGTTTGTGCCCAAGCTCGGCAACAAAGCGCCTTAACCAAACCGCTTCCGTACCACCACGAGTGAGCGCCACGTATTCCGCTTCGGTGGAGCTAAGTGCAATCAAGTTTTGGCGCTTGCTTTGCCAACTTATTGCACCTCCCACGAGGGTGAAGATATATCCCGAAGTGCTTTGGCGGGTTGATGGATCTCCCGCCCAAACCGCATCCGTGAAGCCTTGTAGCACCACGGGTCCCTTCTCATAGTGCAAACCCATTCGAGTAGTGCCCTTGATGTAGCGAAGAAGGCGACGTGATGCTCACACATGCTCGACCATGGGGTTGGAGACGACACGCCCAAGCACTCCAACGGGAAAGGAGAGGTCGGGTCGCGTGCTCACTGCGGTATACATGCACGACCCAGCGATCGAGTGGAAGGTCTTGGCGCTCTTGGGATCCATCGGGTTCTCGTCGCTCACGGCCAAGGGATGAAACCCCGCTTCCATGGGTGTCGGTGTAGGCTTGCTCTCGATCATGCCGAAGCGATCTACTACGCTTTCCAAGTACTTGTTTTGGTGGAGGGCGAGGGTCTTGTTCCCTCGATCACGATCGATGTGCATCCCAAGGTAGTGGGAGACTGCGCCGAGGTAACGCTTGGAGAATTCAACGGCAAGCTTGTTCTGCACGTCCGCTACAAGGGTCTTGCATTCCGACATGAGGAGAAGATCGTCGACGTAGAGAAGAAGGACGAGCTTCTTCTCGTCCTTGTTAAGAACGTAGAGCGCGTGATTACACTCGCTCCGCACGAACCTCAACGAAAGCAAGTGTTCGTCAATCCTCGTGTACCACGCATGAGGACTTTGCTTGAGGCCGTAGATGGTTCTCTTGAGCTCGCACACACGGTCCGAGTCTTTCACCGAACCCGGGAGGTTGCTTCATGCACACCTCTTCCTTGAGACGACCATAGAGAAACGTCGTCTTCTTGTCGAGTTGTTCCACCTCCAAGTCGAGTGCTCCCGCCAACGCCAAGAGGGTGCGCAGCGTGGCGGACTTGGCGACGGAAGCGAACGTCTCGTTGTAGTGAAGACCCTCCTTTTGAGTGTAGCCTTGCACCACCAACCGCGATTTGTACCGCTCCACTTCTCCGTTGGGGCCGAGCTTCTTCTTGAAGACCCAGCAAGATCCCACGAGGTAGGTGCCGGGAGGCATGGGGACAACCTCCATTGGCGTCGTTTGCCATGAGCAAATCGTACTCCTCTTGAAGCGCACGTTTCCATTCCGCCGCTTCCGCCGAGCTCATAGCGCCTTGGTAGGTGGACGGGGTGTCGGTGTACGCCTCAAGGCACATGGCGTCTCTCCCTCCCTCATCGTCCCCCGCCACGAGGGAATAATCATCGTACTTTGAGTTGGGATGAGGAGTCCTCCGAGTGCGAGTGGATACGAGGGTGGGAGTAATAGTGGGAGGAGGAGGCGAAGGGTCACTTTCCTTGGCATTTCCTTCATCCCCACTCACTCCAACTGCACCCGATCCATTCTCCCCCTCAATCATACTAGGAGGAGGAGCCGTAAGAGCGTCATCCGCCTCATCCGCGGCATCCAAGGGTGGAGGGACGATGATGACCGAGGGCACGTTCGTAGACTTGGAGGGGAAGGTGGCTTCATAGAACACCACGTCGCGCGACACCACGAGTTTCCCTTGCTCCTAGTCCCTCACACGCCTCCCCTTGTGATCTGCGCTTGGTCCCAAGTACATCGCCACCCGCGCCTTCGCCTCAAGCTTGGTCCGTGTAGCATCCGGGACATGGTAGTAGCACGTACACCCAAACGTGCGAAGGTCGGTGACGTCCGGCTTCGTACCGCTCCAAGCCTCAAGAGGCGTCTTGTTCAGCAACGCCTTGGTCACGCACCAGTTGCGAATCCGAGTTGCCAACGTAACCGCCTCACCCCGCCAATGCTTCTCCACGTGAGCATATGAGAGTAGGCTTCGGGCCGACTCCATCAACGCGCGGTTCAAACGTTCGGCCACTCCATTTTGTTGAGGCGTGTACGGCGTCGAGAACTCATGCGCGGTCCAACGCCCTTTCAACCAATCGCCGAGCTCCCGAGCGGTGTATTCGCCACCTCCATCCGAGCAAAGGCGCTTCACCTTGAAGCCGCTTTCCGTCTCCACACGCGCTACACATTGCTTGAGTAGAGTTGACGTGGCGTTCTCGTGTTTGAGAAGCCGAATCCAACACGTCCGCGTCGCGTCGTCAAGGAGCGTGAGGATGTAGCGCGCGCCGCCTTTCAACGTGGGAGTGATTGGTCCGCACAAGTCCGTGTGAACAAGCTTGAGAGGTTCGGTGGCGTCCGGCTTCGTGCTGGGTGGAAATGGCTTCCGTGCCATTTTTCCTTCAAGGCAACTGACACACTTCTCGTCGTCCCCACCCGAGCGCACAAACTCCAAGCCTTGGACAATCCCCTTAGTTTCCATGGCTTGAATAGCGTCGTGGTGGAGGTGGCCAAACCGATTATGCCACGTTGAGAGAGTGATTGTCGAGGTAGCTGCTTGAGCCGTCGCCACACTTGGGAGAGCGTCGAGCACGAAGAGTCCTCCCGCTCGGCGTGCCGTGCCGATGTGTACGCCATCCGCCATGCTCAACGCCATCATGGATCCTTCAATATTCACATGCATCCCCTTGCGTGTGAATTGGCGCCGACCCGAGAACCACAAAGACGTTCTTGATGGTGAGTGGGCCGCCGTCCACCATGAGCTGCAACTCGCCTTGTCCGATGACGTCCAACGTGTCACGGTTGCCGAACATCACGCGCTTACTGGGATCCTCCGTTGTCATGTTGTTGAGAAGTGTCGTGCATGTCGTCATGTGTTGATGCGTGAGTACCCACGCATCAACACCACCGACGGTTGTGCCACTTGCAACGAAGATGAACTCTCGGTCGTTGTTGTCGAATGTCGCCACATGCGCACGCCGGTTGTCGTCACTTGAAGACGACTTCCAATTCGCCGGCTTGACGGGACATTCGCGCCACCAATGTTTGGTCCTCTTGCAAAACCAACAAGCTCCGCCGCCCGTTCGAGCTCGATTGGCGTTGGCCGGTCCCCCCCATGATGAGCTTGAGGCCGTTGCGCTCCCTTTTGAGCTCCCGCGGTTGTTGCCGTCGTTGCGCCGCTTGAAGTGACTCGTCCCTTTCGCCTTCGCATCGCGGAAGAAGTGTGCCGCACCGATTGCATCGCCATGCAATTTCGTGCACCTCACCTCTTCGTTGATGAGGCGAGCCACCACTTGCTCCTTCTTCCATGTAGCTTGCGTCCCATCCAACGTGGTGATCACCACTGACCACGCTTCGCCGAGGCCCGCAAGGAGTGTCATGATCCAATTGTCGTCGTCCACGCTCGCGTCGAGTTCCACCAAGCGCTCGCCAAGCTCCTCCACGCGATTGACGTACGCGCGCATTAACTCGCCGTCCTTCATGAGGGGATAACTAATACAGCGGGAGCTTACTACGGAGAATGCACGGGATGTTGGGGTGATCTCTGCGTTCCTTAGTCGTTTGCTTGTGTTCCACTAGCAAAGGTCAAGAAAAATTGTTCAGAATGATAGCAACAACATTGGCAAGAGAGACTACATCAGAGCTAGCAAGCATGCAGGTCGACCTCCAGCGCTGCAACGCTCGCACCGCTCCAGCACAGCAGAGAAGCAGCTTGCCAACGTTGCAAGTCCACGGTGTGCCAACGTTGCAAGTCCACGTTGTGCCAACGCTGCAGCAAAACGGTTGCACAGCGTTGCACCCGCATGACAGCAGTGCACCCGCTTCGCAGGTGCGCACGGCTGGTTGGTGTGCCACGCCCCGTCACGTGCACAGCGTAGACGCCAGGCCGAGAACACGCCAACGACTGCGCCCACCAGCCACGTCGACCTTGGGATACCACTTCCGAGGTCGGCTTCGCAGGAACCGCCTGGGCAACCGTCGCGCACCTCTGCTGATCCCTGTCGCCCGGGTAACCTGGTCGATCGGGCAACCACCGAATCGGCATCAACTTCTGTGCCCGGCGCCGACCAGCTGCTGTACGTGCCCGTCGACCGTCCAGGTCGATGACCACCAGCCGACTTCACCAGGTCGGCTTCCCAAGTCGGCGCTACGAAGTCGGCGTCCTCCCAGGTCGACCTCGCCAGAACTCGGCGCCCTCGGCACCACACCCAGGTCGAAGCCGACGCCCTCTGAAGTCGGCGCCTCTCCCCTCGTCGACCACTGGGTCGAATTTGGCCGCCGGCCCCACAACGCCGGCGGCAACGCAATGGCCCCCGTGCAAGTCGACCTAGTTCGTCGACTAGCTCGCCCAAGTCGGCGTCGCCCACTGCTGCAGGTCGGCTGCACCTCCCGCACACCCGACGCCGAAGTCGGCCCCGCCCAAGCGAGGACGGGGACGACAACGCAACTCCCGTTGACACTCCCCTGCCGTGTTCACGCTTGGGCCCCCCCATCCATACGGCAGCACTACTCGGAGAATAGCCCGTCGGCGTGCACACAACGCACAGCACGCCGGTCACCGCACAAGTCATGCAAGAGAGCATGGCACCTACTGCTGCACGTCGTCGTCACCGTCGCCGATGTCAGCCAGGCGCACTTGGCCGATCGCAACGGAGCACCGGTTGAAGGTCGGAAATTGCAGCGCCTTTATCAGGATGTCGGCTGGCTGTGCCTTCTCCTCCTCCTCACGCGCCTGGGCCTCCTCGTCGTCGAAGGTGAGCACGAGGTAGGCGTCGACGGAGACCGGCGTCTTCGGGATTTGACCGCCCTACTCCTCGTCGATGAAGCGCTTACGCAGCTTGTTGGCGTAGCCCTGCTGGTGCAGCCACAGCTTCCTCGCCGGCCTGTCGCGCACGATCTCCAGCCCGAGGTACTTCACGACCGGCGAGATCTTGCGCAACTCAAAGACGGCCTCCAGCAGCTCCTTCAGCTTCTTCAGCATCGCGGTGTTGCTGCTGGTGGCGAGCAGATCATCGACGTAGACCAGCAACCAGCAGGCCACTCCGTCGTCGCCGACCTTGAAGTACAACGCCTCGTCGACCTGGCTCTTCTTCCAGCCAGCGTCCTTCAGCACGGTGTCGAGCGTCCGGTGCAACAACAGTGGCGACTTTTTCAGCCCGTACAGGATCTTCAGCAGCTTGCACACCCGGCCGGTCCCGTCGTTGTAGTAGTCCGGCTGGTACATGTACAGCACCCGGTCGAGCTTGCTCTGCAGAAAGGCGTTCTTCATGTCGAGCTGCATCAGGTTCAGGTCGAGGACGGCGACGATGATGCTGAGGGAGATCCTCAGCATGACGTAGTTGCTCACCGGCGCATACGTCTCGTCGTAATCGGCGCCATACACCTGCGTGAAGCCCTTCATGACCAGCCTCGCCTTCTCGCGCTCGACGGTGTCGTCGATGTGGTACTTCGTCATCAGCACCCACCGGTTCTTCATGATGTTCACCCCCGGGGGCCGCTCGACCAGCACTCATGTGCCATTGGCGACGAGGTTGCGGATCTCCTCGTCCATGGCGGCCTTCACCGCCTTGCCCTTCCAGCTCGCCAACGCCTCCTTCACCGTCATCGTCGCGATGTCCCAGCGGTGCTCGGGGTCGGCGTGCATGTCGGGGTCGAGCTCTGGCAGGTCGACATTGTCAACGGGAGTAGTGTTTGGCCCCGTCCTCGCTTGGGCGGAGCCGACCTCGTGGTCGGGTGTGCGGGGGATGCAGCCGACCTGCAGCAGTGGGTACGGGGGCCACTGCAAGGGCTTTGTGCTGGGGGTCGCCTGGTTGGAGGGCGCCGAACAGGCGGACGCCGCCCTTGGCGTCTGGGCGGCGTCCTGGGCGTCTGCTCGGCGTCCCGGGCGCCTGGACGCCGACCTGGACGCCTGGACAGCGTCCTGGGAGGCTGGACGCCGACCTGGGCGTCTGCTCGGCGTCCCGGGAGGCTGGACGCCGACCTGGACGCCAGGACGCCGACCCTGGGACGCCGGGTTTGGTGTAGCCGGCGACCGACTGGGCTGGACGACCAGGTGGGGTTGCCCGGTCGTCCGGGATACCCGGGCGACGTGTGCGAAAGTCGCCGGGATGGTTTCTGCGAAGGTGACCTCGGGGGTGGTATCCCGAGGTCGACGTGGCTGGTGGGCGTAGTCGCTGGCGTGGATTCTGCTAGGCCTCTGCGCTGTGCTCGTGACGAGGTGTGGAGCACCAACCAGCTGCACGCACCTGCGAAGCAGGTGCACCGTTGTCCTGCGGGTGCAACGCTGTGCAGCCGACTTGCTGCAGCGTTGGCGCACCGCAGACTTGCGACGTTGGCAAGCCGCTACTTTGCTGCGCTGGAGCGGTGCGAGCTCTGCTGCGCTGGACCGCGGTCGACCATGCTGCGCTGGAAGTCGACCAGCAGCTGTGCTAGCTCTGATGTAGCCTTGCATGCCAATGTTGTTGCAATCATTCTGAACATCATTGTTGTGAACTTTTGCTAGTGGAACTCTTGCCAAATTCCCCCGTGAACCAGCAAGTAGTGAGAGCACAAGTGAGGACTAAGGAAGGAACGCAGAGATCACTCCTACCCCGTGCCTAGCCCGTAGTCTAGCTCCCGTTGACAGAGTTATCTCCGCAGACATTCTCCTCGGCGCCGTCGTACAGCAGGCCATCATCGTCGTTATCGTACAGCATGGTGAAAGTGGCCGGTGGCAGGCACACGTGGTAGGTCAGCCGCTCTGGCGGACTCCGAAGTCGGCCAGAACGCGGCAGTCCAGGCTGGCTGACCTCGACCTCCACCACGTCGCTGTCGGTGGACACCTCGTCCACCAACTACTCCCCTGCATCTTTGCCGGCTGTCGCTGCCCTCGGCGTCCAACGTGGTGACTACCTTGTTGTCGGTCAGTTCGAGAAGCTCACATCCCTTGCTCTCCCCCGACACACCGAGATAAAGGCCCCACCTGGCCTTCGGCTTCACCTTTCCGCCGCGCTGCTGCTCGGGGACCAGGAACTGCGCCATGCAGCCCCACACTCGGGGAAGTGTCAAGTCCGGCTTCTTGCCGGTCAGCAGCTGGTACGGCGTCGTCCCCGGTGGAAGCGACGATCTCTCCAGACAGTTGCGTACCCAGACAGTGAGGTGCCACCATTGGTGCTACACGCCCATCGTCCGCACCGACTCCACCACCGTCCGCATCTCCCGCTCCGCCATGCCATTCTGCTGCGGAGTGTATGGGCAGGTGAGGTCGTGGAGGATCCCCTTGCCGTCCATCCACAAAGTTGGTGAACGGCTTCCCGAGGAACTCCCCTCCGAGGTCAGAGCGCAGCATCAAGACCGACTTCTTCGTGTGTCGCACAGCCACCAACAGCCACTTCTCGAACTCCCGCAGCACGTCGGACTTCTTGGCGACCAGCCTCAACCACACGTAGCGGGTCTTGCGGTCCTTCAGTAGTAAGAAGTAGAGGCTGCCATCCTTGGCGGCCATCCGGAACGGCCCACACAGGTCGATGTGCACGACGGCCAAGGCTTCGTCGGCGTCCGAGCCCTTGTTGGAGAAGGTGTGCCTCGCCAGCTTCCCGCCGATGCACGGGACACACGGGGAGTCGGTGCTGACTGATGGCTGGATAGCCAGGCTGGTGGCGACCTCGTGCTTTGCTGAGCTCCGAATGATGTCTATGTCGACGTGCGCGAGCCTCGCATGCCACCTGTCCGGCGTCGACTTCGTCGCCGAGAAAATTGCCCGCAGGGCCACCACCGCAGTCGGCGCCGGCGCCGCTTTCACCGAGCTCGCCAAGCACGGATGAAGGTCGGTGCAGAGGACCCGGCCGGTGTACGTCGCCCGACCGAGTACGTCCCCCGCCGCCGTGACAAGCAACATCTCGTCGCCGTCAGCCTATAGCTTCACACCGCTCTCCGGCAGCTGGCCGGCTGACAACAGGTTCGCCTGCACGCCCGGGACGTAGAGAACGTTGGGGACAAGTACATGCTTCCCGGCCTCCCCTTGCAGAGCAACGGTGCCATGGCCTTTGACGGTCTGCAGAGCCCTGTTGAAGCCGCGCACGTGCTTAACGTCACCGCTTGGCCCCAAGTCGACGAAGGCCTCCTTCGTCCCCATCAGGTGGTGCGAGCAGCCGCTGTCGAGCAGCACCACCGCCGGGTTCGCCTGCACGGCTGCTGCCACCGCCTGGAAATCCTCGCCGGCCTCCGGCGCCAGCGAGACGGTCGGCTCCACGACGCCGACCAGCGAGCACGACGCCTCCTTGTCGCCTCGCCCCTTGCCGCCTGAAGAGGAGTCGGCATCCTTCGCCAATGTCGACTTAGTCAACTGCTTCTCCTTGCGCGTCGTGCTCTCCCGACGTGGTCGACGACCGGCCAACCTCCTTCGGCCTCCCTTGGCATTGTCGTCGGAGTCCTCGCGGTCGGGGCACTCGAAGGAGAGGTGGTCGGGGTCGCCGCACAGCCAGCA